CCGCCCGCCCCGCCCCGCGCACGCGCTGTCACGCGGCCCTCACCCGCCTCGTGCGGCCAATGGCGAGCGCCGTCGCGCCCCCGCCCGCGGAGCCCCGCCTCCTCATCCTGCCGCGCCTGGCCAATGGCGAACGCCACCCCAGCCGCACTCCACCAGAACTGAGCCCCGTCCCACCGCGCTCAGCCACCGGCGTGCGCCAAGAGGATCAGTCCCGCCTCTCCGCTCCCGACCAATGGCGTGCGCCATCAGTAGCCAGGCCCGCCCCTCCACCTCCCCTCTCGCGGCCAATGGCGTGCCCTTCTCAGCCCCCGGAGACACCGCCCCTCTGCGCGCGGCCAATGCGTGTGCGCACGGCCCTTCAGCGCTCACCTGGCGGAGGGGCGGGGCAGGACCACGACCACGTGGGGCACACCCCGCCGCCTCAACGAGCGTGGCTGGGTGATGCTGCCACGGACCTTGGGGAGGGCAGTGACTCACTGACAATGGGGAAGACAGTGCAGAGATGTTTAATAATAAAAAGGTGTAAGAGCCAAGGCTCAAAACCATCCCTTTGCTGCATACCCAGTACAGAAAAAGGTTTCTATAAAGTTAACATTTTTAGTAAGAAGTAGTAGAAAGAGGGTGGAAGCCCCTGAGACTAGCCCGGTGAGTGAGGTAAGGCAGCAGTGTGCTTCCTCCTGGCCGGCCAGTTCTGTTCTCACAGAAGTGTGTGGCTGCCACCTCCATGAAGAGGCTGAGGGGCCAGGCATCCTCCACGTCTGGCCCACACGGGGACAACCACAGCAGTGCAATGGGGCTCCCCACAAGGACAAATGGCTAATGTGTCAGGGGGAAAGTGTCACCCCAGAGAACTGTCCCCAGAACCTGTGGGGCGGTCCTGGCCGTCATGGTGCCACACGCCCTGAATAAGAGTTCCCACCATCTGCAAAGTGCCAATTGCTGTTCTCAGTCCCGCACCACGCTGACCACGTTATAGTACTTTCTTCCTTTTCGTGCGTTTGGTGCAGCCCCTGCCAAACCAGCCACCTAGGGCAGGGGCTGAGCTAAGCGGTGTGCCCCGGTCCCCAAGTGGAGGCTCTTCCTGGCTTCTGCACAGTGACTTCCGACTGTGGCTGCCTTCTTCGCCTGCACGCAAGGGAGTCGCCAGGGAGAAGATGGGGTCCTGCCACCTACCGGAAAGGGAAAGCTGAGTCAGGCATACCTGGGGGCCTCTCAGTCTCACCCGCCCCAGGACGGGAAAGCTGACTGAGGTCACCCTGCTTCCCTCCCCCACATCTGGGTTGGGCTTTGCTTAGAGGAAGCTCCACTGTTGTTCCCGAGCTTTAGAACAGCTTCCGGCGGAGATAGCTCCCTGAGTAACTCAAGGGTCAGCACCCAGACTAGCTCAGCCTCTGCAGAACTCAGTGTCCTCGTCGGCGACCAAGCGGCCATGTGCACACGGGGCGGGGCAGCAGTAGCCCCAGAAGGGATGAATCATTAGCAGCCCTGGGCCCCACCTTTCACTTGTTCGGCCAGGGGCAGGTGGACCAGACCCTCTCCCCCTTCCCAGACTGCAACACTCGACGGGAGGGAAGGCCAGCTGACTAGGGAGGCACCACCTACAAACTACATCGTGAAGAGATCATGTGTCTGACTGAGATGTAGAACCACTATAAACTTAAGATACAAATAAGCACTGATAAAGAAAATGAGCTAAGTTAATGTAAAAAAGAAAAAAAAAAAAGAAAAAGAAAGGTACAGTACACAATAGGCCCACATTTACAGAACACCACACACATAACATACAAGAATTGCCAGGCCCAGAAGGTGAAGGGATCCTTAATTCTTGAACCCTTTGATTAAAAGAAGTTATTGATTTCCCCTATAAGACCCTGAAAATTCACAGAGAAAGAAAGTGTAAACTTTTTACTCAATACATACACCATGTCTAAATTATCACAAATTCTGTATTAAGGCACAGTTTGTTTAAGCTTCCCCAAAGTATGCCAGCTCCCCAAACCAAGTGCCCCGAGATTCTGTTTGACTCGAGTTGCCAAGAGCATGTCCCTTTGAGGCACCTTCCCATCCAGGCTGTCTGAGGTAAAGGGGGAACGTCCAGGCACACTCTGGCAGGTTCCCTCTCCCCACAGGGAGTCACATCAGCCAGGGAGCCTCAGCCAATGCCTCGGGTGGTCCCTGCAGAGGCCACCATGCTGCAGTCACACCTCAGACACCGTTTACAACACCTCAGAGCTTTCTCTGTGCTCAGATCACAAGAGAAGACAGACGCAGCCCATCCACACAGGGGCAGGGAAGGGAGGATATGCCCATGCCCCCTCACCTGCTGTAGGGGGGGATCTCCAGGCCCAGCTCGTCCATGAGGAGCCGCATGACGTCATCACACTTCCCGTGGAGCTTCAGGGCAGCCCAGTCATCCTTTGGGGTCCACTGGGGACAGGGGAAGGCAAATGAGGACAGTACCTCACTCATTGCCAGTGGTCTGCTAGGCTTGGCCCCTGCTCACAGATCTCTGTGGGGCGTGACGGTGGGATGTGAACATCCCAGGGACTCTCTGGCTCTCCTGTTCCAAGGCCCAGGTCTAAGGAAGGGGCTCTGGGAGCCCTAGTTACCTGCAAGTTCACAATGTAGAGCTTGGGCCGCCGGCTGGGGGGCTTGGTCATGCACCAGAGGCATGGATACTTTTTTAGAACCTGTGGCAATGGATGGACAGACAGACAGACCACACACACACCAGGGAACGAGGCTATAGGAAGCTGGGTTCTAATGCTGAGCTGGCCAGCTGCCGGCAGGCTCACTCCCGTCCCATCCTCAGTGCTGTTCACGTACCTTTAAGCTGGAGCCTAAACACAGGATTGTGTCTGCTTTGCTAGCAGCCTGGGTGGCTGCCTCCCAGTTCAGAGGCTGCCCCAG